TAGTAATAGTACTAGTACTACTACTAGTACTAGTACTAGTACTACTACTACTACTACTACTACTACTACTACTGCTACTACTACTCCTCCTACTACTACTACTACTACCACTATTACTACGACTACTACTACTCCTACTGCTGCTACTGCCACTACTACTACTACTACTACGACGACGACGACGACGACGCCCACTACTACATTGTGCCTGGAATTTGGAACCATTATTTTGTGGAACCATGTTGGTAACCTTGGTAATCTTGTTCAATGTTGGTCAAAAGCAAGATTGCCAGCAATCTTGCTCATCTTGCAATTTTTGTCATCTTGCCCACCTGCCCCACTTGCGTATCGTCTAGTTTACCTTTTAGACCAAGATCGACCAAGCTTGCTGGCAATCTTGCTCCTCCGCTCCCCCCCCTAAGTGGGGCAAGTGCAAGTGGGGCAAGTGGGACAAGATTGCAAGATTGCTTGGCAAACTTGCTCCAATAATTGCTCTAGATTCCCGGCACACTGACGACGACTACTACTACTGCTACCACTGCTACTACTACTACTACTACTACTACTACTACTCCTACTCCTACTCGTACTCTTACTCCTGCTCCTACTCCTACTCCTACTCCTACTGCTACTACTACTACTACTACTACTACTACGACGACTACGACTACGACTACCACTGCCACTACCGCTGCCACTGCTACTGCTACAGCTGCTGCTACTGCTACTGCTACTCCTCCTACTCCTACTCCTACTGCTGCTCCTACTGCTGCTGCGGCTACAACACAAACACTTATTTCTACTACTACTACTACTACTACTACTGCTGCTGCTGCTACTACTACTACTACTGCTGCTACTACTACTACTGCCACTACCACGACTACTGTTACTGCTACTACCTCCTACACTCAAGCATGGTGCACCTGTTATGATCACAGCCACATCACTTGTTGAGATATTTTCATCGTGGCCACTTCACCATCATTGTTGCTATTTCGTGTTGTTCATAGTTTTTATGCTGCTGCGGCGTGCGATGCAAATTGCATGAGGAAGTTCACGATTTCGGGCACTGATGGCATCATCCGCCTTGAACTCAGCCGGTGTGAGGGAGTAACGCTGATCCTGTGGAATTTGAGACAGAGGCGGACTTGATGCGGTAAGCTTAGCCTTACTGCAAGCTATGCGCAAAGACGGGGTCCTGGTCGCGTCCTGCTTGGTTATCCTCGTGTGCTGATGTTCGAGCAAGTTGGACCGGATCCCCGAAAGTGAACGTACATGAGCAAGCAAAGACAAGTGGCAGATGATGCAGGTGTACGGGAATGGTTCACCGGCCAGGGGAAAAGCTCCAACGAGATTGCGCTAGAGCAGTTTGCAGAGATCCTCAGCTGGCACTTATGGAGGTCTGTCTAATTGCTACTGCGGCACTGCTACTGCTGCTCGCACTCCCTTCTTCGCCCACCTACATAAGACCAGTGAACATACAGCATCCCCACATCCTTCGTCGGATGCCTGTTCGAGCGTTGTTCCGATGAGGCTATCCGACATGACCCTACCCATATCTTCAGAATGCACTCAAAACCAGCAACCGTCAGCATTTAGGGCCTTTAGAAGATTCTCAGTTGAGGAGTGGCGAAACGTATGTGGAGAGGGTGGACAACGCTGTGAACCGTGACTGAGCTGCAGTCCTTCTCACGGTAATGCAGACGGCTTCGTCTCTCCAGCCTTCATTCCGAAGAGTTCGAATTTGAGGCGATACCTTCTACTACCAGCTCATGTCCTTCGTAGACGAAGTGGTTCACCAAGAGCGTGGACAGCACCCTGGCGAAAGAGAAGGCTGGTGACAGGCTAGCTGCGGCTAAAACTTGTCTTCAAAGCTCTTTTGCTCACTCGCCCGTCCAAGAGCTCTCGCGATCCGTCTGGATAGACATCCACTTGGAACTCCGAGAGTTTGAGGTTTGTGAAGATCTCAGCGGCACCTGAACAATGTGACACCCTTCAAGCAAAAGCCTCCACTCCATGACAAACTTTGCAGAAAGCAGAAGCACCCAATTTCTCCAAGATCTCTCCCTTCCAGGGACCACAAGTTCTGTCAACCTCCACTTGCGGGATCTTGCGGGTTTCTCATTTCAAGGAACATGGGCATGCCATGGGCCTACTTGAACAAGGGCCCGGCGGACACCGTGCGGAACGTTGCCTTGCTAGACGACATCTACCGGAAGGTTGAGGGAGTCAGGAATAGGGGTACTTGGACACTTGACAATGGAATGCTCTGAACGGCCACTTGTTGTCATCAAGTGTTGCGCTGCGTACTCGCATGTTGCAAGAGACGGTGCCCTTCTGCTTACCTGAGCAGCCTTGCAGCAAGCCAGGCAGGGATGAAGCCGCGTGGGTCGGAGACACTGCCGCCTGAGCCGTACAACCGGATTGGCCTTGCAAAGCTGTGAAGCCTTCCTCTAAAGTCGAGCAACCGAGGTAAGGGTGCAAGCCTGACTGCCGTGTTGAAATGCCTCGTTCCACATGCTAAACATGAACCTGCAAAGGGCTAGGGTTGGAGATATGTGAAAGCGTTGAACTCGTCCATCAAGCGCTCGAGCCAGCACATTCCAGCCCTCAACCTGGAGACATCTGCAGACTACGCTTACTGCCAGACAATGCCAGACCTGCCAGCGGGCTATCGGGCTCCGACAGTACGTGCCAGACACTGTCCTCTCGTCAAGAAGGATGCAGCGATTGGGGAAACAAACGTTTAGAGACATTGCGCATCAGCGTACTTCAGCAGTGTGAGGTACCCGGTTGGACAAGGCTATGGCTTTTGCAAGCTTTGCTCGGGCACTCGGGGCACTGCCAAGCGGCGAGATGTACACCTCCGAAGTATACCTTTAACGTCCTTTCACAACTTAAGTTGTTGACATGTGTACATATTTCGCACAAGTACCGTACATGTTATACATACATACATACATACATTACATTACATTACATTACATTACATTACATTACATTACATTACATTACATTACATTACATTACATTACATTACATTACATTACATTACATTACATACATACAAACATA